TTCAGGTTACAACTGACTTCTTCACAGAAACTTCCCTAGATGTAACTAGGATATTCTCTGGATCAAATGGCTTTATCTATAACAGCTAAGAAAGCGTTATGGTTCTGTTATTGGAGCCAGCCTCTGACTATGTCCCCATCAGTGGAGTTACACCTTACCTGGTAGCTGAAAAGAGGGATTAGATCTCTGAGTTTCCAGTGAACAGAACCTCATTGGTCAATTATTAGGTCGAATTCCAGTTTTTATAAGATTGGTTGCACAGTGTTTGGACCATGTTGCACAATATTTCCATTCATTTGTATGGAATTACGAGTCAGAGGCTTGCTGAAGAACGAGTGGGTCCAAATTTGCTCAAATATCAATGCAACTGTATCCTATATCTATCAAGATGGGTCTCACAGATACGTATTGATGGGATTCTAGCCCATAATGATCAGGGCACAGAAGAACAACCAGGGGCTCAGAATACAATGTCTGTTTGCTTGAGCCTAATAACTGTGGACAAGGTGGATTGGCAACCATGTCACGACGTATCCTCGGGGTTGGCGCTGATTTGTCTGATACCCTACATAGATCTGATGGCCATTTCTTGGAACTACCAGGTCCAGAAGTATTTTCTACATGCTAGGACCAGAATGCTCAGGTTCAGGATACACTGACTCAAATTTAGAATTTTATGTACATATTTTCCTGTTTTCGACTTTCCTAAAAAGGTAATGCAAAAGGTGACAGTGGAAGACCGTGTCGACTCTAATTCCTATGACAAATAAGATGATTCTGGAACCTCCAGTGAAAATTCAAGTACATCCAGACCTATTACAAGGTCACTTGACACACCAGGATCCTCAAGTTCTGGTGTTGATGTGGGCGTCCATATTAGTATAGGCATCCCTGAGACGGTCATTGAGATCCTCTTACAATCCTATACAGGCTTTACAAAGCTTGACATGCTTTTGTCTGTTGGAATTACTCCTCGTTCAGTCCTTGAAAGGTTCTGTGTTATAACACTTTAGAGGAGCACTTAGCTTCATATAGGTATTGATTGAAATCATGCTTCCGCTGAGGGTGTTGAAACCAATATGTGACGTACCACTGGTCTCACAGGCTCTGACCAAACCATCATTTGAACCTCTAGCAGGAGCTTCCATGATGTTAGCACAGACATTGCTGTTGCTGGTGGCTGGTACGTCAGCAGGGTGAATGTGTGAACTCCAGGCTTGATCCTGTGTACCCCATTCACTGAATTTCAATAGTCTTACATGTAGCACCAGAGATCCTGCCTAAAGTGAGCGCCTTTCAATGCCATTCTGTACCAAAGGATTCTGGGGCATTCTCCACTAGTGCTGTTACAGCATCTTGTGGGTTTCCATGGCAATGGTCTCTGCTGAAACTTTGTAAAGTTGGCATTTGGACCTCTTTGAACTAGTTTGTTCTGCATTACATATTGGACATTGAAACAATTAATGAGGCATAATTTGGACGTCACCTCCATTCTCTACCTGTGCTGGAGGGTATCAGGGCACTCTCCTCTCATGCTGTTGCAGCATCATGGGTTTCTATGGCAATGGTTTCTGCTGACACTTTTTGTAAGCTAGCATTTGAACCTCTTTAGAGACGTTTGTCTGGCATTTCATACTGTTCGTTAAAACAGTCTATGATGCACAGTTTGGTACTCAAGTACTTAACTCAGTTCATTCTTCTATCTATGTTGAATTATTCTGATTTGATTGGCTATTCTGTCCCTCCCTTTGTAAGCTTGGGTATTCCCCATGTGTATATGCTGCCATGATTAGCCAGGAAAGTGGAAAAGTTATTCATACTTACCGTAATTTTCTTTTCCTGGCTATTATTCATGGCAGCATATACTTCCCACCCATTAATGTCCCTATTTATGTACTGTAGAGCTTGTAAACTGACTGAGGACCTTAGGGATGGAGCCTCCTTTTAAAACGTTGGTGGTTTTCCTGTCCTATCAGCTGTAAGGGTAGGAGCTAACCCATGTGTATATGCTGCCATGAATAATAGCCAGGAAAAGAAAATTACGGTAAGTATAAATACATTTTCCAATATATATATATATATATATATTTATGAAATGATTCTTCTTGCATTTGCCTAGTAATATCTGTGTTATTGATTTTGACTGCTCCTGTAACTGGTCATTACTGTATCAATTCATTTACAGAGTGAGTTATGGTTGTGAGTCTGATTTTTGCAATATATATAGTAATTGTTGCAGTGTTTTAATAACAGACTCTCTTATTCCTCTACTAGGCTCTTCCTCTTTCTGACAGGCAGATATTGATTTGTTTCCTGTATCTACAGGTAAGTAGTTCACTAGGCAAGATGAAGCAGTGTGAATCGTTTTTAATAAATACTGTACATTCAGTAAATAGTAGGATTCTCAGTGTAATTCTCCCCCTGTTTAATAGTATGGTGTGACTGTTCTCATCAAACAGTATCTGCTTGTCCCAGTATGATCTCTGGAAGTTATGCCTTTGTCACGGTTCTGATATTATGATACCATCCATTTGGTTTTTAATTTATATCAGAGAAGGACATTATCTTCTATTGTTGACATAACAGATCTATAATTCTAGACCGTGTCTGGGTTTCATGGAGGTTCTCTAAATGTATTTTTTTTTTATCCATTACAAGATGGGTTCCTTATCGCTTATGAGTTTGTCTTGCATTAGTCTAGCCTTGTTCCTTTTCTAGGTTTGGCTATCATGACCTTAATTCCTATCTGGCTTTATATTTCTCCAGGATATTTCAGACATTTGAATTCCAGGGTGTTACTGACCTAGCAGCTTCTAGGTTAAATTATCTTGTGTGAACAGATTTTATGATAATATCCTATTGATTACTTGTTTGGGTTTTATAAATCTTCTAAGGTTTATGCAGCTCAATAATGGTTTTTATAACTATTAGCGGTTTTGAACTCTGTTCCTCTCTCTCTCTCTCTCTATATATATATCCATGAGTAAATGCTGCCATGATTGATCAGGAATAAGGAAAATTGTTTCATACTTACCATAATTTTCTATTCCTGATCATTATTCATGGCAGCATTATGTTCTCACCCATATACTTTAAGACTTGTGAAGCTAGTTACAAAGATTGCCCGATGGTAAGAGGAAGGATCTATTTATACCAGTTTCAGATTCTATTTCCGGTCCGTTCTGCTGTGAGGGGAGGAGCTAACCCATGAGTAAATGCTGCTATAAATAATGATCAGGAAAAGAAAATTACGGTAATTATGAAACAATTTTCCTTAATATGATTCTACTGAACTGTTGTTTTAGACCAAACCAAGTGTTTGCTTGAATATCTACCCCTGTTCAGATTGTTTGAAATAAGGTGCGTGCACGCTGAAGTAAATCACACTGAGACATAGGTTTCAGATAAATGAAAAACTTCGGAATGTTTACTTAGAGGGGCGGCAAGCCCTTATAAAGCACAAAATACATCATATGCAAAACATGAGATAACATAGAAAGTACATCTTTAATTGGTCAAGTGTTAAGTGTCTTATCTAATGCACTTCCTCCAAAATGTGATGTCACCATCATCTCAGGATTTTACTCCGGATGGAGACGCCATCTTGTTACACAAGGTGTTTGGTCGATGGGAGAGGGTGCTCTAGCAGCCATTTTGAGTAAATACTGAATACAGGTATACATAGTAAATAGACATTTTACCTACGTTAATTTCTATCCATAATAGTCCCCCCTTAAAATGACTATTTACTAACAACAGTTTCTAGCAGCTATTTCTGACCCTAAAAGCTGTCCCTAATAGCCTACAGCTCATCTGTCCAACAGGTCTCGAACACTTTTGGTGCTGCACATAAGACGAGCAGTGGCTTGTCCACCACCTGCCTTGCTACAGACTATGCCCGTAAAGACAGACGCTATCCCTAAAATACTCTATCCTTGGCGGTGAAGGAATGCAACAGGGCATAGGGTTTATCAAAATCCTCCTCATTTACCTCTTGATGAATGAAAGTTGGTGTGGCCTGATCTGCTGTTTTCTGCATACATTTCTTAACACAGGGGAGAACACAACAGACAATGAGAGCAAGAATAATCAAAATTACCAGGACTGCCACACCTATTTGGGCCAGAACTCTCTGCCATCCACTCAGCCACCCAAACCATCGTTCTCATGGATCTGTGATCCCAGAGTTTCTCTTTAATTCTTCTGAGAGAATTTCTAATTTCTCTATTGCTATGGTAACCTTGCCATCCGGGCCTGTGTTGTCTGGAATGTAGGTGCAACATGTCATGGTGTCAGGGAGTACTTTACATACTCCTCCTTTCTCCGCTAGGATCATGTCTAGGGCCATCCTGTTCTGGAAATTCATCTGGGATGTGGCTTGAAGTTGCTCAGCAATCCCCTGAAGGGAATTTCTTGTATAGATTACAAACTGTTGTTGGTATAATTAATCCAATTTAGATTCTTATTGGCAGTAATGATTGGGAGAATGGATTCAAATCCTGCAGCAACCTCATCCCTCGCCTTGAATTCATTTGGCACCCCCCCTTGTCATCTATATATACATGGGAGTCAAAACTGCCTTTTACAGAGGTGCTTCTCTTTGTTCTGATATGTGGGTGTGACTTGTCAAGTGTATCTTGATGACTGTCAGATATTATGTGCATTGGCATAATAACCTTGGCTAGGATGCATTCCCCCCACCTTAAGCCTTCCAACCTTGTCCTGAGCTGCATATCCCCACATAACCAATTTTTGTCCCCCAGGGATTTAACCTGATTTTGTAGTAAGGCAGCTCGGACTTTGCTATAAGTGGCACAATATTTACCGGTGAAATTACCCAAAAAAACCTTCCTATTCCTCCAAATATACCATAACAAGTATAGTTCCCGGACTAGATGGTGATACCCTCATCTGGTTTGGGGTTCTAAGCCATAATAGAATACTCCTTTTTCCATGATTCGCACAATGATTGGTCAGTCTTACAGTTGGTGAAAAAACTCAGAAAACACACTATGGGCCTTATTATACAAACTAAAACCCAGATCGGAGGTGGTTTGGGACAACCTGGGTTGATATTTCTCCACAGATTCTGTCTTCTCTTGGGTGACATCATTAATGCAAGTAGCCTGATTGGCTAATTTATCTTGGGCCCACATTCTGAGTTGTTCACAGAATTCAGTGCCTGAGGGGAAATCGGTATCACTAGTGAGAAGGGCACTGGAAAGACTTTTCTCCGTAACGGGCCAATAAGCATCTCCTGCTTTAATTTCACAGAGGCATTTTGTGGTAGAGTTTAACTTAGTAAAACTAAATGTTTACTTAGTACGAATAAGGAAATAAAACAAAAAACACCCAAACTTCTGATGTGTTCTAGTAACTTCTGAAGTTGACAATTCTTTAAAAAAAATAAAAAAAAAATAAAGTGGCACCACTCATGGATTCTAGCCTCAATTATATCCTGATTCATATATCATCTCCTCCGAATTTACTATAGGATGATCACCTTTAACCATAATCATCTCTTTCCCTCTCTTCTTTTTTACCTAAGCCTGAGCTAGCTGAGTTTAACAAAAAATTACAGCCCATCATTGTCACACAAAGATTGACAGGTTAATACAGAATTTCACAGTTTTAAATGAACCTCTAAAACTGTCCAGATTTTTCAAAATGGTTTCATGCAAAACAGTGGCATACCAAAGACTCTGTTCCATAATCATGGCATGTAGTGGTTATAATTAGTGATGTCCCGAACGGTTCGCCACGGACGGCGAACATATGCGCTGTTCGGTCCGCCCCCTATTCGTCATCATTGAGTAAACTTTGACCCTGTACCTCACAGTCAGCACATTCCAGCCAATCAGCAGCAGGCCCTCCCTCCCACCTCCTGGACAGCTCACTAAGAATGCAGCTTCACAATGAATGTAAAATGGATGCTGTCCAGGAGGTGGGAGGGTCTGCTGCGGATTGGCTGGAATGTGTCTGCTGACTGTGAGGTACAGGGTCAAAGTTTACTCAATGATGACATAGGGGGCGGACCAAACAGCGCATATGTTCGCCGTCCGTGGCGAACCGTTCGGGACATCACTAATTATAACCACTACATGTTCGTTCGGGACATGACTAGTTATAATGCTTAAGAAGCCCCTATAAGAGGTTTTTCTCGCAATCTTAAATATTGTGCAAAGCACATAAACTTACAAAAAAGCATCATGATGTCTGTCTTGAATTAACATTTAATGCCCAAGGCTATGTGGATGTTCTTAAATGCAGAACAGCATAAAGATATGAAATAACAATGTATGAGTAATGCATCATGATTTAAAAGCAAAACATATTATCTATAAACCTGTTCATACCCTGTAGTGTGTACCTCCAAATTTATATCTGATGTAAAGTATATTGAGGATTATAGCTTTAAAAAAAAAACAAAAAAAAACAAAAAACAACAAAACACTTCTGAATGATTTATTTTTAATTTACATACACAGATAATACTAAGGAACCAAAAACAATAAAAAAAAGTACAATATATGAGGTATATTTTATTATCCTTAATATTGTTTAATAAATAAAGTATAAAAACGTGTTTTTTTGTTTTACTTTTTTAGAAAAATGCAACTGTAGGTCTTCATGATGGAAAAAAGTGTGATTTTTATCAAGCTGTGCAATAAAAATATGAAGAAACATGACTCATATACACATTTACAAGTGAACACTTTATACAAATCTCCACAGTCCTACAGCAGTGCCCTTAAATATGTTACATTTAAACAGAACATGCTACATCCCATTGTTTTGTTATTCAGTCACAGTCTCACAGTGTATATTTCTGTTGTGCTAACAGCATTAAATCACGAGCCAAATAATACATAGGTTCAGTTAGTTAAAATCTGCTCCAAATTCTCCAAGCATTTCAGATGATAAAGTTCAAGTCTTTCGTTGGAAATCATTGAACCTGGTAATCGAGAGAAGAAACAAAAGTAAGAAAAACAAAAAGATAAAAATATAAATATTTTAACCAGTTTAATTCAAAATTTTAATGACAAGATTCACTTAAAGAAAAACTATAGTGCCAGACTATAGCTCCGCTCCTCCCCCGCCGATGTCAGCTGGCAATGACCGCACTCGCATTTTGTTTTTTTTCCCATAAGAAAGCATTTACAATGTCTCCAAAGACGTTTCAGAGAATTTGCCAGTACATCCAACCGGCCTCACAACTGCAGACCACGTGTAACCACACCAGCCAAGTAGCTCTACATTCATCATCTTCACCTCCAAGATCGTCTGAGACCAACCACCCGGACAGCTGCTGCAACAATTGGTTTTGCATAACCAAAGAATTTCTGCACAAACTGTCAAAAACCATCTCAGGGAAGCTCAAATAAATAAATCTTATATGCCACACCTGTAAGGTGGATGGATTATCTCGGCAAAGGAGAAGTGCTCACTAACACAAATTTAGACAAACTTGTACATATTTGAGAGAGGTAGGCCTTTTGTGTACATAGAAAAAGTCTTAGATCTTTGAGTTCAGCTCATGAAAAATGGGGGCAAAAGTGTTGCGTTTATAATTTTGTTCACTGTATATACACATCTATGGAAGTATGTGCCTATAGATATATGTGGAGTGGGTCTGTAAATAAGTGTTTAATTATATATTTTTGTCTATATGTAAATATATGTTTTAATGGTGACATGACTGCACAATACTTCGGTTATATGTTTCTGTGGATAGACATTGATAAAACACACACACAAATCCAAATGGACACGCATACATACATCTATAAAACACTTGGACGCTAAATTATGCAGACCCACAGATGCATTAAAAGAGCTCAGATATAGAATAGCTGAATTTTTCACCACCTACCTACCTACACTAGCGAAACTCTAGTAATATTTCACTCTCTCCCCAATGTCCAGGAGGCACAGTGAGCAGGTCTGCTGGGAAGCTAATTCCAGCTCTTCCTTGCAAGTGAAGAGAGACATGCTGTTACCTCTGTCTCTTTGTGCAGCCTCCCTGCACCTGGATATTACCAAAAAATGGGAGAGCACGGAGAGGGAGGGTGAGGAGGATTAAGGGTGTGTATGGCAGTCAGCAGTATATTTAACATTATATATGGCTCCACATGCTGCACTTTGACAGTATAGGGACAGCAAATGGTCCCATATTTCAGGCAGGTTAGCTGGTTGCTCAGTTAGCCGGCTTTCATACTTGGATTGAGTGCTGCTAATCAATGGAGGGGAAGAGGTTAGTGATTAACACCATATGGAGGCTCCTATGATACATAGAGTATACAATAAGTTTTCAATTCCTTAATCTTTTACAAAATTTAATATACAGCAGTGAAAGAAAAAGAGATATATAACTTACGCTTTCTCAGAGTGCACAATGCTTCTTCTATTCTCCCTTTTAAAAATGGGTTCTTCAGAATCACTTTTGCCTAGTTTAGAAATTTAAATTAATTTATCATTGATTAGTATATGGACAGAATGCAAAAATTAATAACACAATATTTTTCTACTAATTATTTCACATTGAACTAGATCTATCAAAGTCTACAAAATGGCAGTAATAGGTATATAGATTTTACAAACAATTTACTTTTTTAATAAAGTTAGAATAAAATATACAAATTACACCAAAACATTTATTATAAAACATATCATACTGGTAAAAAGTACCTGCCAAATTCAATAATTTAAAGACTTCCAGAACATATATCCATGCAACAACAAAGGGTAACTTTATGAACAAATCACCACCTATAGCATCTAGTTAACAAAGTTTATTAAAGTGGCTATGGAAGCAATCCATCATTTTTATTTCAAACTGTTTTACATTTTCCTCTAGTTTAGATGAATCCTTTGTGCCCAATGCCCACCTTCTTTACATGTCATTAGCAGATTTCAAATGGAAACTCTGAGCATAGTAACCACTTCCACTTTAGAAAGGTCAAATTTATCTTGCCTTGAATAGAATTTATTGACTTAAGATTGTCAGCTGATACTCTCAACCAATGAATTCCATTCAAAATGTTAACGTGGAAATTAAACTTCCGTTTCAATGATATCTATAAATAAACTACATATTTTGCTTCCAAGGGACTCAGGTTAGTGTCAACATATTCTTGTATAATTTGAACACTTTACATGTTAATGCCACGCAATAAAGGTTCAGAACCTTGGGGTATAAGATGATTTGACTGGTCTGAGTTGTCACAGACAATTTTAGTTCCAAAGAATTTAGGAGTATCTAAATGATCTCCTTGTGCAAATTTGTAATGTATGCTCATTGACAACAAATTTTTTTTTTGCTCAATACCGTGATTAAAAAGAAAGAGGACGAAAACAAAAAAACATTTTGCGGGGAACAAGCCTAGCATCCTGGCTGAACGGACATGCTGAACGTTTAAGCTCCTGACAAAACTCACAGCTTTGGGGGAAAAAACCCCAGAAACTCGGCACACACGCACTTTGGAGGGCTACAGTTATGCTGGGAACACCCGGGTGAACTCTTAGATACCAGAATCAGCCTTCTACCCACCCGGGAACCCGAAATCGTCTGCTGAGGCCTGCTGAAGATCGAGCAGGGGAGAGGCAGCCGCTCTCCTCGCTTGCTAACTAGCACTGAAGTCCTTCGTGTCTCCTACCACCCCCCCCCACACGAGGCACGCACAAGATGGCGGCTGAGCGCTCTCCACTTAAGCTGACCCAGCTCTCCAATCACACGAACCGTCACAACATCATCACTGATATTATACAGCGTCCCTATAAATTGTTCAGTGACAGCTGGGAGAGACTTCAAAGCCGCAAGCAGACAGCACAGATATAGCAGCAAGTCCCCCTGGAAGTGGGTGAGAAGGGTTACGGACAGCGGCGAGTGAGGGGGCCACCCTTGCACAACCCACCAGAACACCCAACACACCAGAATACTTACTCGTCCTAGCCCACCCGGGCTGAAGGCCAAGAGGGTACCAATCCGGCAGCATCGCCCACACCAGCGGTGGCCCATGCGTCGCAAGTGGCAGCCAACCATCACGCCTCCTGCCGGAAGCAGACGAGTTTGTGGCCAAGAGATGCAGACCTACATACCAGCCTACACACCTACACCCGCACCCATGCAGCAAAGAAACCCCGCGATCCACCAGCGGGATACGGATGTCTCCCGACAGAGGGAATCGGATGAGAGAGATAACTACTTACCAACGTTCTCATGACCTGA